AAGGAGAACTTGTTCATCCTGTCTATTAAAGATTCAATAATGTCAACTAGAAGCAAGAAAAAATAATTTATGAAAAGTTCTTCTGAGCTATGGTTGAATTTGTCTTCTTTTTTATAAAGAAATCGTCTGTGCATGTACAGTGTGCATACACAAATTCTTTCCCAACAGGCATTTGTTTTTAAAAGTTACGTTCTATATGTCTTATAAACGTCTTCTAAACATTCTTACGTAAAGAACGTATAAAAGACGTTTAAAAAAACGTTTAAAAGACATTTAGAACGTAGCTTTAAAAAAAAAATGTCCGTAGGGTTGGGTACCGAGATAAAATTTGTTTTTTACTCTTTCAGTTCTTTTAAAAAATGTTGTTTAAAAATTTTTTTTTTACATGTTTTTTAGATTTAAGTATACTCCCGCATTATAAATTACACTGCATTATCAAGCAAAAAGCAGAGCGATCAAGAATCTCTATAGGGGAGGCTGAACACTGTTATCACTCTCTCCATTCGACCATGGGCCAGGATCGCGTTACTAATTTTTTTATTATTTTGATTGAAGAAGATTTGGCTAAAAAGGTACGAGCTACGACAATATCATCGGTATTTGGGCGGCCAAAAAAGGTTGAAAAATTCATATTTAAGCGCCTAATTTACCTTTCTCGAAGATTTTGTTGGTTGACTTTTTGTTTCGTTTTAAAGCTAATATTTTAATTTATATGTCAGTTTTGATTAATGAACCGTTTCTCAATACAGAGAATTAGTAGTAACACAGAAATACAATGTGGTGTTTTAGAAATAGCTAATTGCTGCGTTTACAAAACTTTAAATTTTATAATTTCTTGATTTGTAATAGGGACAAAGTTCTCCATTTATTGAAAATTTTAGTAAAATATTACAAGCAAAACTTTACATACACAATCAAACTTTACAAGAAAATTTTAAAAATAGTTATTTTTTTTCCGTTCCACACACGAATTCTAATTTCAGTTTTACATGCTTTTTCAAAAGTAAACTTTTACACAATACATAATAATTCATGCATAATTAAATATTTATACACGTATAATATTAAAAATAATCAAAGCAATAATAATGATAACAACACATAATAAATGATAATACGTTCTAGAGGAAGTTTGAAAATTCAGTAACTAATACTAACAAAATACTCTGAAAAAGATATTTTGGCAGGTAGTTTTAGACACATGTAGATGTCTATTACAAGTGATTTTAAAATATTTTGAAATTTTTTACTTTTAGTTTTCAAATGAGACTCAAAACTTTGTCCCAGGAAAGAAAGTTAGAAAATAACAAATGAATAATAACTCTTTGTAAAACTTTTTTATTTTATGAAAATTGGCGCTGTAAACGGAAGTTCGTGAGATATTTACGTTTTACAACATGGTAAACATGTAGTTTTTCATCAACTTTTTTTTAAAAAGTGATAAAAATATACAATCAAAATGCTAAACTTAGCAAAAAAACACAAAGACTGCAGAGGAAATGTTTGTATCATTTGAATAAAAAAAGCAAACAAGAGCTTTTACAAAGAGCCTCTTCGCAAGCATTAAACAAGTTCTACAAAAGGATGTTAACTTCAAAAGTGACAGAGTTTCTTTAGTGATAATAGTTTTCTTATATTGCCAAAGGTAGTTACAGTAGTAAAGTTACAGTTACTGAAGAATTCAATTTAGGAAACTAGAAAGAGAACAAACAAAGACTGTTCCTCAGCTTTTTAATTTTGAATCAATTTTAAGCCACCAACACGATTGACTACAACTTGTGACCTGCCTAATTTGTCAAGTTGGCAAACTGAAGTCCTATGAATAACATCCTTTGAGCAATTCCAAAAGTATGGCAGCTAAACCTGATGAGACAGTTAAGAAGCGTTGTGTTAAATGCTTGTCAGTTCATGGTAAAGGTCTTCCACATCAGTGGACTCCTGGAACTTGCCCTAAAAATTAGAGGACGATGGCTAAATCTGATCCAATATAGGATATATTGGAGCTGAGCAAGTGGCAACGGTTGTGGCAGGCAAGGATTCTTTTCTAAATGGTACGATTCAACTTTGTCAATCAAGAGGAAAACCTTAACCATTAAAAAGAGGTAAGTTTATTAACTATGGCATTAAAAAGTTTTGTGTAAAATAGGCTATTGTTTAAAAGTTGATCTTTTTCAAAAGGATCTTAAGCTCCACAACAATTGTTCAATGAACCTCTGACCCAAACCTCTGACAACCCAAAACATGTTGCAAATTCAGCAAAACCTCTGACAACCCAAAACATGTTGCAAATTCAGCAAAACACAGGTCTTTCACATAACGGGAAAAGGTAGTTAGGATTTGCTAAGAACCTTAAGAGTTCTGTCAAAATTTTAGAACTTAACCTTCTAAGAAATTTGCTTAAGTATTTTCATTTCTCTGTTAAGCTTAACAGAACGTTATTCAAAAAGTTCTTTTTAACTACCATTAAAAAAAAAAAAAAAAAATTTAATATAACTTTTTAAACATAAACGTTTTAATTTAGGATTCTTTTTATTTAAACAAGTTTTAATAAAACTTTTGTCATACCTTTACTTTGAAATATTGTAATGAAATTTCAGATAAAAGCCCCGTTAAGCTCAACGAAGAGATGTGAATACGGCTTAGCCAAACCTATAATTTTTTTTCGACAACCAGTTTTTATGCGGAGTTGCTAATGAGTGGCGTAGAGGTCATATTTATATGAAAAAAGTTTTTATTTTTTCTTGATAGAAGTGTTCGCGCCGATTGTTTGAAGTTACAATTTTTATGATTTTTGACTAAATTTAGGGCAATTTCTAACCATCGGCGCAAACAGATTCTGATGTCAAATCCAGTTAATTTGTTCAATGATGTTTCCTTTATGTGTTCCTGTACCAAAAAATACACTATACTTATTAATTTAAGAAATATGTTGTGCCTATCTTACACTTTTATCTTTACTTTACTACCTTTTAACCTTTCATGGTTTTATGATATAAATAGTTTATTCTCCAGCTTCACAGTTTTATTTACGGCTACGGCTATATGAAGCTGATATGATGGCAGGAGGTTAACAAGAATAATGTTCGGCTAAGAATAATTTGGCTTGAAGTGGGCTTGAAGTGGGAGAACTGTATAAAGATAAAAAACATCTAACAAATTTCTAATTGCTGTGTATTGGGCCTCAACACTATTGTATTTAAAAACCACATTTTTTCAATTTCATAACGAATTTGTGCGTTTTTAAAATACCATCAGTTAACAAAAATAATAGTAATAATAATGCGCACAATCGGTATAGATAAAAAACCTTCCATTATTTGTAAAGTCTTCTATTACTTGTAAAGAAGTTATTATATAGTTTTTTTCTTTTTTTTTTTAGGTGCCCCAAGAAGTCTTTACGGTCTTATCACAGAGCACCGCGGAAGAGCATTTAATAGGAAGTTCACGCCTCCTTCCCAACCGAAGTCGCAAAGCTTGTCCACAGGTGAGGTTTAAACCACGGATCTTACGTTTCTGAGGCAAGTGCGCTACCACTGCGCCACGGCTGCTCAATGTCAATGATTTGTAAATTTCTATTTATTAACTTGAGCGCCACGGCTGCTCAAGTTAATGATTTGTAAATTCCTATTCGCGCAAATTGTTTGAAAATGCCCGTAAAAACTAAAAAAAATGTAAAATTGTTTAACTTTAAAATAGTGGCGCGAGTTTAAATAGTCATCTAAAATAAATTTAAAAAAATTTCATTAAGAAAACAATACCTTGGCAATATTTTGCGACATTCCGCGTATTAAAATTTGTTCATGAGGGTCAAAAATGGGATGGGCTAATACGGCTACAGGTCAAAAGCCTAATAGTCATTTGATAGTGATAAGTTTTTAGTGAAAGCAATACTACAAGTTAAGTTGTTCACTTTTGTGATCTCAACAAACTCGATGAAATATTTATGCCAATAAGAAAAATTTTTAACTTTGCTGTTGTGAACTTGGAATAGATAGTGGAGGAAAATATCTGAAAGCAAGCTTTACATTTAAAATGGTTAAAGATGAAGATTCAAAAAAATGTCAGATTGAAAAAAAATGTCAGATTGATAACACCTACATTATTAAAAACTATTAGTGTCAAGCAGCTAATACTAGTAGCAATTTCTCAAGACACTCCAGAGACCTATCCATTTTGATCTCATTAAAGTTCGAAAAGAGCGTGCCAAAGATTCCCTGGTTGTCTCATGTGATATGAGTTTTTCAATACAATGTGTGATATACAATCTCATAGTAGCAGGCACCTTTACTGTTGGTGTGATATTGAGTTAACAAATCTCCTTAACTGCGAAAGCTTTAGAACTTTTGGTGGTATAAGAAGCAAAAAATTTTTGTCTACTCAGGTGGCATTTTGAGAAAAAAGTCTTTTAAAACATGGTGCACCTACCACTTATGGAGTTTACCAAACCAAAAGCTTATATTAGAAGCTATTTCACTAATGAAGCTACATTTTTTGTCATGTGTGATGTATTAAATAACATTTGTCATTAACATAAAGAAAAGAAAGCGTGAAAATAAAATTTTAAGGGTTTAATTTTTTTATATATTACAAATTACTCAACTTGGATGAGTTTTTAATAGTTTTCAATAAAAATACTTTCAAACTTTCTATGCCTAAGAACCAATTATCATTTAATATTTTTTTTTGTGAGGCAAAGTTTTTGACCCTCATTTTGTGGAAAACAAAACCTACCATGAGAAAAAAGTGTAAAAACTAAAAAAGAAAAAAGTCTTACGGACGGTCTCAAAAGATTTCAAAATAACTTCCAACCTCTATATGTGCCTAGAATCACCAGAAAAAATATCTTTTTGGGGTTATTTGGTTAGTATTACTTTCAAAACTTTCAAAGAATAAAAATTTACATAAATAAAATAATAAAAATCAAACGTAAATAATAAAAATCTACGTGGTGTTTTTTTTGTTTATTTAAAAAAAAAAAAAAAAAAAAAAAAACAACAACATTTAAGTTCTATAAATGATAAAATACTTTACAATATTAGCAAGTAACATAATTTTTATAAGATATACAAGTTGACAGATATCAAATACACAAGTAAAAAATATTTTTAAAATCGACGAAAGATCATATAAATAATAATTCAAAGAAAAAAAAATTCAAGTTTTCATCAAAATTACCTAAAAATAAATAAAAACTTGTTTAACAACTTCATTCTGTCTCAAGGCAAAATAAAGTTTCTAATATATTTTAACAAAACTAACATTTTAATGAAACTAGAAACCTTAAAAATCTTTAAAAAAATAATAAAATATTAAAAAAGTAAAACCTAAAACTTTCAAATGAACTTGTGTGTCTGTTTTCTTCTTCAGCGTATCTGATAACAGATTTCTCTTTTTCGAAAGAATAATCATACTAGAAAACAATATATATATATATATATATATATATATATATATATATATATATATATATATATATATATATATATATATATATATATATATATATATATATATACAGTAATGGACAAAACATTTGCAACCAACATCAAACAATGCTAAAAAGTGTTCCTAATTTTACATGTCTTAAAAAAGAAACAAACTATACTATCACAGCAAACAGTTCAGGAGTCTGGAGTCATAGGATGCCATGACATGAGCAATCAGCTGACAGGTGACAGCACACAGGCAGAATTTCGTTGACAAGTACCATTTTGCAGCAGACAAAACAAGTGCAACTTTTTTGGTTTGTTTCATCTGGTCTGTGTCAACGTCACGGAAGTTTTTTAATAATTAAAGGAAGTATCCACAAGTTTCTAGAAGCATGCAGAAGTTTCCAGAAGAAGCATCTGTAAGCACTCAGAAGTATGCAGAAACAAGTGCAAAAATGGCTCCCGACAGTCTTGGATTGGAACTAAGAAAGAAAATTATTGGCGATTACGTTAGTGGAATGTCACAAAAAGTATTTGTGATAAATATCGCGTGAAAAAATAGACCGTATCAAGACTATGTTCCAAATATCGTTCTACGGGGAAATTGGCAGCAGATAACAAAGGTGGAAGACCGCATTCCACCACTTCTAAAGAGGATTTTAGGATCGTCAGAACCGTCAAGAAGGATCCCTGGATATCATCAGTCAAGATACAAAAGCAATTAGAGCTGCCTGTATCGGACCGAACAATCAGACGACATGCTGTTGAAGCCGGATTGTTTTCTCGACTCCCTTCAAAGAAACCGCTGATTTCACTAAAGAACCAGAAAAAAAGACTCCTGTTTGCTACATCTCATACTGACTGGAATGTGCAGAAATGGCGAACTGTCCTGTTCAGTGATGAAACGAAGTTCAATACCATTGGGATTTTTTTTAAGACAAACATTTCTTTATTACAGCAGTATGCGAATTATATTTTAAATGAACACAACCTCCATATTAGTAAGGTCATTTCAGGTCACATCAACATCAGGTCAGATTATACTGCTACTGGTAATATGTAACTCAGTACAACCTGCTTCATGGCTAGGAGAAACTAACTTCAACTTAAAACACCCCCTGCCTTATGGTTCTGGGTTGAGTAAAGACTAGAGATAGTGTCTTGATAAAAATACTCATCTTAGGCAGATGTTAAACGCATCCTAGGCAAAGACTTAAGGGGTGAACAGATCTAATTTGTTAACCAGCCTGGCACCCTATTATATATTCTTCATCTAATAGGCTGGCACAGATGTATTTATAATACATTGTTTCCAGTTTAGGATGTTGAATGCTAGATCTTCTTGAATCAATGAATGAGTTTTGCTTGTGTCTCTGTTTTTATGACTAGGCAACTAGTCATAAAAACAGAGAAAACATTCTATTTTCCCCTAATGAGGGTACAGCTCTAAAACTCTGTTTTGTGGTTCTGAGGCCGGCTGGTAGTCAGGTTTCCTGAACTCTGTTGTAGCTCTCAGAGAGACTGATTTCATCAACAACTGAAAAATATCAAATATTAACAGTGCCATTTTGCACATGGATGGTATCCCTGTTTGTACTTTTGGTGTGCATTGTTGAGGCCACATTTGAAGCCCTTTTTTTTAGCTTAGGGTTTATTAAAAGTAATGAGGCAATTGCTTGGGCTATTAAACAGTGTACTGAGTACTGTCTATGCTTTGAGTCGAAGTCTTTAACAAATTTAAAAATAAATAAAGTACCAAAAAAATAAAAGTAAAAGTACCAAAAATTATTAAACACAAAAAAACATTGTAATCACCAAGTTTTCTAAACCTATCATTCACTAATACTTGTGGTTTTCGAAGTAACTTTCTTTCTGTTGAATCTTATCTCTTGCAAAGTTTACCAGACCTACTTGCTCTTTGTGAGACTAATTGGAGTTGGGCTGTCTCATCTTATGATCTTGATGTTGATGGTTACCTTTAATTCATAAAAGCTCCAATAGTGACCTGCTTGGCCTGGGCATTTACATTCATAAAAATTTAACCATTTGACAGGAAACTAGGTTTGAATCTACCAATTATTCTTTTATGAGCTTTCGTTTAGCAACACTCCACTCTATCGCCTTTCTCTTTGTTCTATAGCACTCTCCTTTATCTTAAGACTGCATTCTTTTTGATGTTATTTCTGATCAAATTGACCAAGCTCTCTCTTTATCCATCAGCCAATATTGTTGTTATCAGTGACCTTAATGCTTTTTCCGTGATTTTATTCGTGATGACACTTGGGTAGAATTCTTCCTGCTGATAAATAAGCTTTTTACATAACTTATTGGATTCAGGCTGGCACAGAACCTTTTATTCTTCTTGACAATTCCAAGTCAAGCCTCACTCTTCTCCTTGGTTTACCTCACATTGTGCTGCTGCAATATCCAATCGAAACCATTACTTCTATTTCTATCAGCAAAACAATTCTAATTCATTGCTAGAAACCATTGTAAAAAGGTTTTGTCTATCGTCAAATCCCGCTATTCTTAAGTCATGAAATCTCATATTTTATCTCAAAAATTAGGCTCTTACGACTTCTGGAGAATCTTTAACAGCATCAATAATAAGGGCAAATCTGTTATTCCACTTCTCAGGTACAGTTCAGATTTTGTCACCTCACCTAAAGACAAAGCAGAATTGTTTGCTAAGAACTTTTCATCAATATTATCTCTGAATATGATTCCACTAGTCACGCTCTACCTGATATAGCCAACAAACAGGTTGATCCATTGCTTGACATTCCAGCTTCTGTATCTAAAGTGATTTCCTGCTTAGACTCTTCTACAGCTCATGGTCAGGACATCATACCTGTTGTAGTCTTGCAGAAGTGTTCTTCGAAGCTGTCATCTATACTTTCAAAACTATTTAAAAAGTGCTTATAAGAGTGTTGTTTTCCGGTACGCTAAAAAGCGGCATCTGTTATTCCTATTTTCAAAAATTGAATCGTTATTTAACAAAACACTTAATCTTTCATTTTGAGTCTAATAACTTTTTTTCTAATCATCAATATGGATTTTGATCTACAGTTGATTTGCTAACAGTAACAGCCAATAGGTTTTATTGTACATTAGATAGAGATGGAGAGGTTAAGGGCATCCTTCTTGACATTTCTAAAGCTTTTGATAAAGTTTGGCATGCTGGCTTTCTCCATAAGTTCTCTTTTTACTGTGTATCAGGCAATATTTTAAGATTATTTAATTCTTCCTTCTCAATTGTATTTAAAAAGTTGTCCTCAACCTTAAGGAACCCCTAAAGTTACAAGATATGAAAAAGAGTGTTGTCCAACTCTTTTTCATAACTTGTAACTTTAGGGGTTCCTTAAGGTTCTACCCTTGGCCCTATACTTTTTTGAATTTACATTAACAATCTCCCAGAAATTCTAACATCTAAGGTGGATTTTGTTTGCTGATGATATTACTTTGTAAACATATCTTAATAAGAAGTTAACAATCTCTGATTGCTTGGAGGGTTTGAGCTTGAAATAGATCTCACTTCTGCTACAGCATGATTTTTTTTTTTCGGAACATTCTGCTACAGCATGGAGCTCACATTAAAATATTACAGTAGCTGGTGCTCACAAAAAAAATAATATCAACGTTAATTAGAAAAATTACTGTTTAAAGATGTTGTTTTAAAGATCTTTTATTAAAGGTCTTCATATTTCATATTGAACAGGCTCACAGCTACAGCATGAGGCTTACAGTGGCTGGTGGAACTTTAATTCAGATAAAACCAAATTTTTTTCAGCCAATCATTACTGCAATAATTAAGATCTTCTTATATTTATGAATAGTGATGTACTCAATGTGATCTACCCTTCATCTTTTAGGATTAAATCTTACTTCCAATCTTTCTTGGAAACCAAAATCAAATCCATTGCAAAATTAGAATCTGCTAAGGTTGCATCTCTTGCTCATCATCATCTCATACTCAACACATTCTTACTCCCGATTCTATTCTTTATCTCTATAAATCTCAAATCTGTCCTTGTATGGAATAATGTTGCCATATCTGGGGCAGATCTTCTAATGATGCCTTTTCTCTTATAGACAAGTTGCAAAAATGCTTTGTAAACACAGTTGGAGCTGCTCTTGAAGCCAATCTCCAACCATTATCACATCATCGTAATGTTGCTTTTCTTTCTTTTTTCTACAAATACTATAATGGGCACTGCTCTAAAGAGCTAACGTCTCATATGCCATCTACTAAAATTCATTCTTGTATTACTTGTCAAGCAATGACAAGTAATACAAGAATGAATTTTAGTTTTGAAGCAGTAATAGTCACTTTTTCTGTGACTATTACTGCTTCAAAAACTCTTATTCATCTGGTTTTTTTTTTCAAACATCAGTTCTTTGGAATTTGCTTCCTTTATCTTGCTATTCGGATTCATACAATTTGCAATCTTTTAAGTCGTTTCTCAATCGTTATCTTGCACTGTAAACTTCATCTTTTCTCTTCCTATAACTTCCAACTCTGGTTGCTTGCAGCCTTGTTGGAAGTGAAGATTTAAAAAAAAAAAAAAGTTATAAGCATTTCACTAAAAACACAGCGAAGATGTTAAAAAAATATATGTATATATATTATAAACATCTCACTTAAAAACAACTGCTTTAATAAATACCTTTTATCAAACCCTAATACCTAAATAACCATTTATCAAAAGCCTAATAAAAAACATTGTATATCAAGCTAATGTTAGCTACAATGATCCCCCTCACATTTCTATCAGTAAATTCTACATTGTTATAAGTGGAACACCAATTAAAATTACATATGCCAACCATATAAATCATTTAATACCATAAAGTACAAAAATGACAGCTTTTAAAAGAGGTTTGGAAACTAAAGAATGGAAATTTGGAAATGGAAATAAATAGACAGTGCAATGCCTATGTCCCTGCTGCAAAACCATGTAAAATATGCATAGATGTAAACTATGAAATTCTTCAAAAATCTAAATTTGCTAAATAAAAAAAGTAAAATTTAAGTACAACCATAGAAATAAATTCTTGCCCAATTAGACACAAGTAACCAGTTTTTTTAAACCAGTTTTCATAGTTACATTGATAGATTGATATTGATACTCTTAAATGATCAAGTGGATTTGTATCTCAATTCGGTACAATAAACAGCATACACATACACACATACATACATACATACATATAGAGACCGCCGAAGTTGACTTTTCAAGACTCGAAGTTATATGAAAGACGAATTTAGATTATATGCGTATATCAAATTTAATTGAAAGACGAATTTAAGCAGTATATGTAGCCCGAATTTAACTGAAAGACGAATGTGGACTTTTAAACCAAATTTAACTGCAAAAACGAATTTGGGTTTTAAAAATACATTTAATTAAAAAAGAGAACTTTAAAAAATTTTTTTTTTGTTTTAAAGGTTTTTCCACGGAGTACATCAGAAAAGTATTAAACTAGAAAGATCAAATCTTTTTTCTTATCGATGGTGCAAAATATGTCTAGAGCTTGCTTCAAACTCTAGGTCTATTGTTTCTAAAGCAAGCACTCTAACTCTAAAAGCTCCAACCAGTGCGCAAGCAAGCAACCACTGCGCAGTGGTTGCTGTATAATCATTTTTTATAAACTAAAGTTATAATTTTTTAGCTTGGAATTAGCCATAATTTAAAACTTAATATAGAACATAAATATATAGAACATATAATAAGTAAATTTTAATTTACTAAAAAAGTATACGCTTACAAAAAACAATTTGCGTCAAAATAAAAAATCTTAAAATTCAGTAATAATGAAAATTTAGGTTATGGAATCTTTACAACTCTTAATGTTTTTGAATGAACATGAACTATTTTTTATTTTTTTATTTTTTACCTTATTCATGTTCCCAAAGTTGAGTGGGCCACTTTAGTCGAGGAACCTACTTCTTATATTGGTTACAACCCTCTCTCAACTCTGAAAGAGAGTTGTAACTAATAGAAACAGGTTGATTTACATAAAACATATAGTAAATTTTATAATTCTTTATTATAAATTGAAAAAAAATTTATAGCTTTCGAATTTAACTGAAAGCTAAATGAAATTATGAAATTGTTACCGAATTTAACTAAAAGCTGAATTTCTATTTCAACTTCGGCACCAAAGTTGAAGCCAAAGTCAACTTCGCCTTTTACTAAACTTCGTAATCCGAATTTTAACGAATATTCGCCGGTCCTTACATGCATACATAAATACATCCATACACACATACATAAGTACATACATACATATACACATAAAATTTCGTTATTATTTCTTTATCACTGTAAGAAACGCACATATATCATATATCATATGCATATCATTCAACATATCATTCCTAATATTATGTATATTATTTTCCTTTACAAAATTTAGAACTCCTCCATCATTTATTCGTCTCTCTAACAAAATCTAAAAAATGCAGATGAATAGAATTATAATACTCAAAAATGCTTTAAAATATTTAAAAAGAAAAAAAAAGGAAAAACATTGACTTTTGAAGTAAATACTCAAGTTCCACAACTGAAATGTGGTATCACCTACACAAAAAGCATGGAATCAAAAAAGAAACAGGAAAAAATGAGAGCAAAAGCTGCAACAGAATCAAAAATGTCTATGATTTTAACTTTTTTTTCCAAAGCAACCAATTGAAGAAGTTATTTTAAGACAAACACACTGGATAGATTTACTTTTCATGCTATTGTTAACAGTTCTTTTATTCTGTAGTGTGTGAAAAAGGTTAAAATTTTTTAAAAAACTACAAGCAAGCAATCCAGTCAGTTAAAAAATTCGCAATTGGTGTGAGAATTGACCTTAAAAACACTTTTAAATCTTTAGTAAGCATTGAAAAATTCTGGATGAGTACAGTTCTTTGGAAAATTTTCAAGTTTCTTGTGAACAGACTGAAACAACGAGATGCATAGCAATGAATGGTGCAATTTTGAAATGTTTTGAAGAGAGAAGACAGAGCAACCTTATAACTTTTACAGATATATTTCCAATCCAGAATGTTTTTCTGACATTCAAGAACATGAAGTTTTCAAAATGCCTTTGAAGTCTGTACTTCAAAAGATTGCCAAATATTTGCTGTGTAGACTTTTCCCAAAAAATCCAGATGTCATAGAATTTATTGAATAAGTGTGTGGCTCAGAAAATCTTGATGAAATTCAACTTTCACGTAAAGATGAACTCGAAGAAGTAAATCAGCATTCAACTAAAAAACAACGCCACAATTCAAATGATGAACTCAATACCATTTCAAAAGAAATTTTGGTCTATAAATTACTGGAAAAAGCACTGCCAATGTAGAACCTTTGTTCAATACACTGGAGACTATTGTGAAGTTTGAGCGAGTCATTTCTGCTGCAGGATTATTTGTGGCAAAAATTCGATCCAGAATAAATGACAACTTATCTGATTCACTTTGTTTACTTAAAACACAGTTTTTATCAATATAACAATTATCAATAAAAATATTAAATCTGAATCTTATAATGACTTTTGAAACAAAATAAAATTTTATAAGAGTTTCTATGACTTTTATTTTTCACCAATTTTACCTATATTTACCAGTAAATTATGCTTTTTTTTATCAATTTACCAGTAAATTTAAAAATTGTTAAAAGTTTAACCCTATTACATACATACATACATACATACATACATACATACATACATACATACATACATACATACATACATACATACATACATACATACATATGTGTGTATGTGAGAACATAATTATTATTTCATAATTATTACCTTTCTTAAAATATCCTCAACAGTAGGTGTGTACATATCAGAAATGCTTGGCTGAAAGTAAAATATCAAATATATTAAATTTAAATACAATTTAAAAAAATGATTTAAAAAGTGATTATTTTAAAAATATATAATTACAATTAAATAAAAAAATGATTATTTAAAAAAAAATTTAAATATTCTTCATTTAAGCCTTAATTTACACAATAATAATCACATCAATAAAGACTGACAGGATTTTAAAAATATTTTGTGAACCACTTAATTGATTTTGATAATTTTTTATTGGTTCAAAACAAATTTACATCCTTTTTAAATAATACACCTGTAATTTAAAAAAAACTTGATTGTAAACAAAGAAAATGTATTTGCAAGTAGAAGTAAGAAAGCTTATTTTAGGCAGGTGTCTTAAAAAATGTAATATTTCAATTGATTCATTTGCAAAATTTCAAAAGCATCAAATTACGGAGTGCTGAAACAAACTGTTAACACTATAAACATAAAAAAAACCCGGAATGAACCGCCAAAAGAAAAAAAAAATATTTTAGATCATAAAAACAATTAACTACTAGTTCAGACATGATCTGGATTGTGTAAACCAAACTGTAAGCCAACCATCATACTTCATAACATTAACCATTGAGTGACAACCACATGCATTAAAGGAGAAGTATTGTATTTGGATAATTTTCATGGCTTGGTTTTAAATGTGGATCGGAAAAAAGTAGAGAAACCAAGAAAGATGCCTGCCAAGTTTAGAACTTAATCAAAAAGTTATCGGGTGGATTGATGCAGATCCATATAATTCCATTTGGGATATCAAAACAAAACCCGGGTGTTCCCAAGTCAACAATTCAAGAAGTCAAGACATACAAAAATTCCCTGGAAGAATTCCCAACATCTATTCAGAAAAAGCCAAAAATGTGCTCAAAAACTGCTACAAGGAAAATGCGGTCAAATACTGCTACAAGAAAAATGTGGTCAAATACTGCTACAAGAAAAATGTGGTCAAAACTGCCACAAGAAAAATTTCAGGGAAATCAAAAGTGCATATAATGGGTGATGAAATTTACTGCAAACTTGACTGTTTGATGCTCTGAGGCGAGTAGTTTTATACAATTCCAAAAGGAACCAAGTCTGGAGTATTGCTAAAAACAATTGAAACCAAAAAATTTGTCTAAAAGTTTTTTGGTTTGGGAAGCCTTTTGTTTGTGTGGTTTCAAAACATTTTTCACAAACAGAAATATAGACTCAATGTTTACGAAAAAAAATGTTAAAAAAAAGTAAAATTACATTGTGTGAATAAAAATATTAAGAACACATTATGTTTTTCTTTACATACAATCCTTGTTAAGAACACATAATGATCTATGTTTAATCTATGTTTTTCTTTATATACCATTCTTTTTAAGAACACATAATGATGTTTGGTCTATGTCTTTCTTTACACACCATCCTTGAAAAAAACACATAATGGTCTATGTTTTTCTTTAAACACTATCCTTAAACCACAAAAATATTATTTTAAAACTAAACTCTAAAATTGTTTATTTACAACATCAATATCATTACAGTATGTTCACAGCATCAACACAGCATTCAAAAAAGTTTAAAGCATAATTTTTAATTTTTTCTCTGCACCTTAAACTATTAAAAACTTAAAATTAGCTTAAAAATATATTTAAAATTATAATAAGACATAAAAAAAGTTCCAATTGAGCAAAAGAGACTTTAAATTCACAACTAACTTACGTTATCCATTTTGTTTGATCCGTAGTATCTGGGATTTATTTCAAAGGGAACACCATCAAGATCTAAAAGGTAATACTACCTTCATAAACATTCGAAAAATTAACACAAAGAAATGTAAACATTATTTGGAAAAAAAAACAATATATAAAAACATATTTGTGAAGTCCTTGTACTGCAAAAATATTTAGCAACTTTAATATTCTATAGTAAAAAAAGTATACAACTTTAGGAGTCTGGGATCTATCCTTTTAAACCTACACATATACAAAATGGGTGACTAATAAACTCAGAGATTCCAGATTCAAAAAATGGGTGACTAAAAAACTCAGAGATTCCGAAATTTTTAGACTACAATTATCATTTTTTTCTTAATTATATTTGTGATCTATGAATTCACAAAACATATTCAGAACCTCTATACAAAATCGTGATCTATGAAGTCACAAAATATATTCAGAACCTTTACACAAAACAGTGAATAAACTCTGTATTCTTTAAAGATTGCAAATAAAGTGATTACATTAAAAGTTATGGTTAAGTTAAAAGTAATTTAAACATTGTAAATATAAATGATCACAGCAAAAGTTATGGATTAAAATTAATTTATTAAACAGCATCTACCTGTTACTAAACTCCCTGGTGATCTAAGAAAAAAAAAAATTTATAAAAATTATGAAAAATATTAAATGATTAGTTATACACAAAGTTAAATCTAAAAAGTAGATTTTCAGATTGATAACAAATATCTAATAACTTTTTATAAACAAAAATTACAGTGGTTGTATACTGTTTTCTTTTTGCACAGTTGCTAATGGTGGAATCGGAGGGGCTTGACGAAGAGGAGCGCGACGTTTAATATTATCTATTTTAAAGATAATTTGATTTTCATTTAGGTTTGTACTAAAAAAAAATGTATAAAAAGTTCTTCATAATTAAAATTTTATAACATATTATTATTATAATATTTAAAAAATTTTCATAAAATTTACAGATTTCAATGTTGATAAACATCTGATACAAAATGCATAGCAGATGAAAAATGTTACACAAATATTTTCTAACTAGCTAAGATTAGCCCTGTAAAAATACGGGTCTTTGTATATCTATTTCAAACCGAACTTTTCAATACTTTTTCCTTATATATTCTAGCTTTCCAGATCTGTAAAATACAGGTCTTTACCAATTTACATATCTATTTCTAGCCAAAAATTTCTATACCTATTCCTTATTTACTTCAATATTTTTTAGTAAAACAATTTATTCTGAAAAAAAAAATATAAGAGCAAAAAACTTAACATGCACCTTTTCTGCATATGTAGAGCTTGTAAGAGGTAATTAGGTTTGTTTTTTCTGCTAAATGTATTTCATTGTTAGCACAGTGATTAAATGCACTGTCATCAATGTTGTTTTGGAGGGTTTAAGAGGAGTCTTAGCATAATAAATTTTGAAATTTTTTCAATCTTGCTTATATATTCATAGCAAAAAAATAAGAATATAGAAAAAAATATTTCTAAAGATTAAAATAAAATTTTCAAGCTTTCTCATTTTATAGATATATAGATTTATAACGATTATTTCATAAAATGCCTGCAAACTCAACATAAAGACGTTTACACTTTCCTAAATTTGTACGTAACACTATACAAAAGAAAATAAGAAGATTTAAGAGCACTAAACCAAAGTCATAAAAAAAATTAATTTTTTATATTTTTTTTATTTTAATTCACCTCCTCAAGGCCGGGAAGGCCACTACAGATGAGGAGGCTACTTATTTGTGGCTATAACCCTCTCTCAACTCTATAACTCCGAAACACGAACCTTGACGAACAAAGCCGCTGCGCGGAGAAACGAGTTGAGCGCGGTACTACCAGGGACGTGGTGGGGATCGAACTCGGAACCACTCGTTTATAAAGCGAGCGCCTTACCACTACACCACTACTGCATTGTGATTAAGAACTAAAAGAATATATGATTAAGAACTAAAAGAATAATATTAAACTAAAAGTTAAGAAATAAAGAATAATATTAAACGCTTATCTAAAAGTTAAACCAAAATGATTTTGAGCATTGAAGTCAGTTTGTGGCAAAATAAACCTTTATGCATCAAGTTTCCTTTTGCATTTATCTTACGTATTTTTACATAATTATCTTACATTTTTTTATTAGTTTTTATTATGTTGCATACAAATGCATTAAAATATATAAAACTGGTAAAGATATATCATTTTCATGGATAAGAGATTGTATTTATTACAATAGTAATAAATAGTTTTAGGGCCATCCATAAAGGACGCCATTATTTTTTAGCCAATTTTTGAACAACTCCCCCTTTTGTCACCGGTTGTCCTTTTTCCCTATACCCCCTTGAAAAGGACGCCATAAAGTCCTGCCCCTCCCCCAATTTAAATTATCCAAAAAATTATCTCATCTCGCAATGATGTTTGAATCTGCTTTGTTCAAGTTGAAGTTTCAAATTTTCCACTCGGAAGTTTCGTGTTTTTTTTCGTGACATAATATTTCGTGTTTTTTTTCGTGACATAATGTTTCATGTTTTTTTTTTCGCGACATGTTTCGTGTTTTTTTTTGTGACATAATCTTTCGTGTTTTTTTTCGTGACATACTGTTTCGTGTTTTTTTAATCTTGTCAATTTTTTTAAATATATTAACTACAAAAAATCAAAACAAAACAGCTTTAGCAAAAGACTTGTAATTATTAGAAGTTGTTTTTCAAAACAACTTGTATTAAAGTTGTATGTATTTATTAGAGTTTACTTATATTACATACGATCCTGAATAAAACATTATATAAGTGGATTATTTACATTTTATAAACAATATATATAAACAAATAGCATATATGTTTATATATATATTGTTTATATAGAGATGGTTTTATATAAATTAGTTTATATTAAAATTAAAAAATGATTTATATAGCTTTTCTTTGCAAAAACCAACGCACTATAATAAAATTTTTAAGTGCTAAAATAAAATTTTGAACTACAATTACTATATTCACTAAAATAAAAATGTTCACTGTAAATAAAATTTTAGGCAATTATTTTTAATTTTTTTGGTTTTAGTGGCTTTGGTTAAGAATTTTGCGTCAAATTATCTTATTTCAACATATTCATTGTATCATCCATACTGCAGCCATTTCAAAACGCCTTAAGGTTAAAAATATCATTTTTGATTTTTTTACAAAATAAGCTAGTTTATATGTCTACAAACGTTATTGAATACATATTTTCAAAGAGTTCTGAAAAAATTCATTAAAATTATTCGTTTCAAAAAATGTTTAACAAAGATTTAATTTTTAATAATCTTTTTTTTAATTGCATTTTTCTTGAAATACGTAATAAGCATATTAAGGTGTTTTGAAAAACAACTGCAGGATATATTTATAGTAAAAAAATAAATGTAGCAAAAAAAGCTTTTTATTATCAAAAGGAAGTTTTACATTTTTTTCTAGCTACAGCTTTTTTTTTTTTTTTTTTAGTCTCCACAGAAGCACCTTCTTGAGTAGCAGGACTTCTTATTAATTTAATATAGTTTTTTTTTTTATTAAGTTTCAGACAACATTTGAAGCCCTTTTTTGTAGCTTAGGGTTTATTAAAAGTTATGAGGCAATTACTTGGGCTATTAAACAGTGTACTGAGTACTATCTATGTTTCGAGTCAAGTTCTTTAACAAATTTAAAAATGAATAAAGTAACAAAAACTATAAAACACAAAAAACCACAGTCATCAACAAGTTCGCTGAACCTATCATTCACTAATATTTGTGGTCTTCGAAGTAACCTTTCTTCTGTTGAGTCTTATCTCTTGCAAAGTTCACCAGACCTACTTATTCTTTGTGAGACTAATTTAAGTTCAGCTGTCTTATCTTGTGATGTTAGTGTTAATGGTTATCTTCCTTCAATTTGTAAAGACTCCAATAGTCACATGCTTGGCCTGGGCATTTACATTCTTAAGAATTCACTCATTTGTCGGGAAACTAGTTTTGAATCCACAGACTACTCTTTTATGTGCTTTCGTTTAGCACCAATTCACTCTATAACCTTTCTCTTTGTTCTATATCTCTCTCCTTCATCTCAAGACTGCACTCTTCTTGATGTTATTTCTGATCATATTGACCAAGCCCTCTCTCTTTATCCATCAGCCAATATTGTTGTTGTCTGTGACTTTAATGTTCATCATACTGAATGGCTTGGCTCTAGTGTCAGTGACTTTGCAGGCATTGAAGCTAAAACTTTTGCCTCTCTCAATCCCTAACTCAGGCCTTGTTTTAAAGCGTTACGCCTAGAGCGATTTACGTACGCCTTAAGCGATTTTTCCGTATGTGTAGCGCTGTTTTGGTTAAGCTACATTTTATCATTTTTTTACTTTTAAATTAGCGGTAACATAAAAGAAGTAATTAATTTAAAAAAAAAACACATTAACTTTTGAATAACAATATGTAAAAATATTTATTACAAAAAAGAAGTTAAAAATAATTGTAGTAACTTTTTATTGCGATATATCTTACCTTTTTAAAAGAATTAATTTCACGCTAAACTTTTTATTCAAATATTTAGTAACATAAAAAAATTGTTCGTCGATCCTTAACTACAAATTTTTTGCAAATGTTTTTAATAAAAAGTATTAATTCTTTAAACTTTTCAGTAAAAAAACTTTAAAAAAATCCATATTCCAAATTTATTAATACAGAATATAAATGTTTTTTGTAATATAGATTTTTTAAGAGTTTTTTACTAAATTCATATTAAAAAAACATTTGCAAAAATTGTGTAATTTTTGACATTTTTTTTAATATCTTAAAAAATGTCTTTATATTTTTGTTATCATGATAACAAAAATATCAAGATGTTTTTTCGAGATATTAAAAAAATGTGCCGATGAATGAACAATCTATTTGTATTGTACTAAAAATTACTTCATTAATTATTATTCTTTGCTTTTATTATTTGTTAAAGGTAACTTTACCTTCAAGTTATGTGGGGGGAGGGGGCCGGCACAGAAAAAAAAACTACCTGTTACTCGCAATTTTTGAATGAAGACAATTTGTTAAATTTCTTCTGTGTGCGATTCAATAAGTTTTTTTTTTCATAAATCAAGTTATATTATAAGGTAAAGAAATCACGAGTAGACTATAAGATGTTGAATATATTTATAAAATGGAGGTTTCATTATGCATGCGCACATTACAGACTCTGTTAAATAAATACTAAGGCACGTTTTAGTTTAATGACAGTCTCTATTTTTTACTAATGACTATGTATTTTTCTGTATAAAATAAGATAAACTAGTATATAAAAACCTTGTATATTTCTATTCTCTCCAAATTGTTTAAAGTTCGAATATGGATTGTATTTTGAAGGACAAATCATTTACTTTAAAAACTTTTAAATCCTGGGACTTTGCTGATGCTTTTCTAATTGAAACTATTACAGAAACTATTACAGAGAAGACTTACGTTATTAAAATCAAATGTAAGTTATGTGATCTTCATCAAAATAAAATATTATCCAAAACTAATGGTGCCGTAAGGACAGCTGCCCTACAGTTTATAAATGACACAAGTCATGTTAAAATATTTTAACATTTTATTTAAATTGGTATATAAATAAAAATAAAAATATAGTTCAATAAATTAAATTTGTTCTTATCAAAGATTACCTCATATTTATTCTTTTTTTATTTTATTATTCCAAGTTAAATTGCTTACAAACGAAAAAAAAAAGAGTTTTGTAATTATAAATAGAATGAAAATACTTTTGAGTTTGTTTATAAGTTAAGGAACTTAATTTTTAATAAACAAATTTTAACAAACGTTTATTATAAACAGATACGATTCAAATTATTAAATATACTTATATTATTTTAGTTGAGTATTTTTTT